CTCTCTCTCTCTCTCTCTCTCTCTCTCTCTCTCTCTCTATGTCTCTGCGCTCTCTGTTTCTTTCTGTCTCCCTCACCTGTTTTTTTCTTAGCTGTGCATCTTCCTTTGTTGTTGACGGAGAGATAGAAATAGCGGCAAATCCCGATTGAGCAGGAACGGCTGGTGGGGATTAGCTTCGGCAGTGAAGCTTTTGGTTGGGTAGTGAGGAAGAGTGGGGGAGGGGGTAAATCGAGTAAGCGTAAGGAAAAGACCGAGGAGAGAGGGGGAAGGGGGGAAGGGAGGGAGGGCGATCGAAAAAGGAGGGCGGCGAGGGGTTACCTGACAAAACATGGGATCTGTGAGGAGAAGGTAGGTGATTTTCCTTTCTCTCGCTCTCTCCTTTTTTTTGTTTGATAATGGGAAATTCGTGCTTGGGATTGACCTCCAAGCGTAGTGTCGGCGGCGACTGGGGTTTTCAAAACTCGTCTCAGACTGGCACCCAATTAAAGCCAGGACCTGGAGTAGCAGCAGCAGCAGCAGCAGCCGGAGTAGCAGGAGGAGGAGCAGGAGGGAGAAGGCCACCCACTTCTGCGGTTGTAGCACTAGTCAATCCCCGCTCCATTACCCCTCAATCTGATCTCCCACCACCTCTTCCTCCTCCTTCTCCTCCTCCTCCTTCTTCTAATCAATCCCCGCCCCCCCCTCTCCTCCCGCCATCCCCGGCCCCCTACCCCTCCTATCCTCCCCCTCTTCCTGGTCGCGATCCCGATTACGGCGACCCCGACATGACGAAGCGTCGGGATCGCTCCATCGGAGCCCTGGATCTGCGCAAACCTGTCGCGATGCATCTCCCAAAGCTCAGCGTCCTCAACAGGAAGACCGAGAATTTGAAGGACCTCTTCGTTCTGGGCAAGGAGCTAGGGCGAGGGCAATTTGGGATCACCTTTCTCTGTACAGAGAAGAGGACGGGGAAACAGTATGCGTGCAAATCTATACGAAAGAGGAAGCTCGTGCAGAGCGAAGATGTGGAGGATGTGAAGAGAGAGATCAGGATCATGCATCATTTAACGGGACACCCTAATATCGTCACGTTCCAGGGGGCGTATGAGGACTCCAACGATGTGCACCTGGTCATGGAGCTGTGTGAGGGGGGGGAGTTGTTCGAGAGGATAGTACAACGGGGGCATTACAGCGAAAAAGCGGCGGCGGGACTGATCAGAACCATCGTGGGGGTTGTGGAACAGTGTCATTCTCTGGGAGTGATGCACAGAGACCTGAAGCCGGAGAATTTCTTGCTCGCAAATAGGAGTGATGACTCGCCGTTGAAGACGATAGATTTCGGGCTCTCCATCTTCTTCAAACCAGGTGTGTGTGTGTGTGTGTGTGTGTGTGTGTGTGGTGTTTTGTTTTTTTTTTGTTTTTTTTTGGGAAGGTGTGTACGAATGGATGGATGGTAGTGAGGAGGAAGGTGTTTTTTTTTTTTTTTTTAAACGTTTTAATAGAAAATATATATTTGTTGTCCTCTTCTCTCTCTCTGCCTACGGTTTACCGGGCAGTTCTATTTGTGACGATATATGTATATGTATAGGTATCTGTCAAACAGAACCGAGCGGTAAACCGTAGTAGGCAGAGAGGGAGGGAGTGGAGGGAGAAGAGGAAAAAAAAGGGGGGGGGGGGGGGGGGGGCTGTGACGAACTGTTTCGTTGGAGTTTCACCGACTCATATGTTATTCTACTATATATTGTATTATTAAGAATTTATTATATTGTATTATATGTTGTTTTATTACATTTTATTATTATATATTGTCACATGATATCAGAGCGCCAAAGCGAACAACAGAAACAAGAAAAACTTAATTCATTTTTAATCTTCTTCCTTACAGTGAGGGGATTCTGCAGACTGTTGAGGGTTCAGCCTCCTGATGAGTCGGTGAAACTCCGACGAAACAGTTTGTCACAGCCCCTCGTTTGTTGTCCTCTTCTCTCTCTCTGCCTACGGTTTACCGGGCAGTTCTGTTTGTGACGATATATATGTCTTATTATATTGTAGTATTTTATTTATTGTAATAAATAATAGTAAAGAAAGCTTAATATGGTTGACGATTCCCCGTTGAAGAGGATAGGATGGATTTTCGGCTCACTCCGTTTTTATTGTCAAACCAGGGTTGAGAGGGCCTAGCTACTAGCGAAGAGGGGTGGATTAAGGGCCTGAATCTGGACGTGTTTTATGCAGAGATACAGAAAAGCAGGACGAAATGCGATGTTCTGCATCTCTCCATAAAAAAAGTCCAGATTCAGGGGTTAAATCCAATTCGCTTTGCTAAGTTTCGACCTCACCCCAGGTTTGTATGTATGGTAGTAAGGAATGCTTTTCTTTTTTTTTTTTTTTCCCTCTGAAATAACATATAATATATATGGTATATAGTACTATATACTATATAACTGCAATATATGTAATAAATTAAACAATATGAATGTAAATGTTATGTTGGATTATTATTTTATAAAATATAATATGTATTTAAATGTTATGTTGGATTATTTATAAAATATAATACGTAGTAGTAGCACAGTTGGGAAGGACAGAAAAGGAAAAGGGGACAAGGACCAAATCGGACTAGTAGTGTCACTCTCTCTCTCTTTTTTTTTTTTTTTTTAAATAAATGTCACTCTCTCGGAGTAAGGCACAGAGACTTCATTATGGAGAATTTTTTTCTACCCTTTTGTCGATATTTTTTTTCGAGATTCTTTTTTTTTAATAAATGTCACTCTCTCGGAGTAATGATACCCCGTTGAAGACGATGTATTACGGCCTCTTCATTTTTCTTCAAACAGGGGCGAGGTCCCCTTGTTGCAAAGAGGATGGGACTTTAGACGTGTTTCTAGACGTGTTTTTTGGACAGGTGCAGAAATCTCCGTTTTCTTGAAACAGCGGCGAGGTCCGACTTGCAAAGGGGATTTGCCCGTTGACGCCTGAATCTGGATGTGTTTGCGGACAGGTGCAGAAATCTCCATTTTCTTTAAACAGGGGCGGCGAGGTCCCACTTGCAAAGAGGATTGGATTTGACGCCTGAATCTGGACGTGTTTGTGTGCAGGTGAATAAAATCGCTATTGATCAGCCTTTTTTCTCTGCATAGAGGCCTACAACTCATCCAGATTCAGCGGCTTCATTCAATCCTCTTTGCCACGGTAGTGGGACCTTGCTCCAGGTGTGCGTGTGGTAGTGAGGAATGATTTTCTTAATTTTTTTTCTATTCATCTCGGTGAACCATAGGCAGAGAGAGAGACGGAGAAAGAGGACAATAAACGATAAACGAGGGGCGGCTATGATGGACTGTTCTTCACCTGACTTACTCATCAGGAGTCTGAATCTTCTATCTATATATTCTAATATATGATATGATATTGTTTTTTTTTTTTTTTTTTTTTTTTTTGATGATATGATATCGTAATACTATATCAGATATATATAAATAAAGATACGATTCCTGATTGCAGACAATATAGAGTTTGGCCTCTCCGCTCTCCTTCATTCCGTTCCAAGGTGTGTATCTAGTGAACAGAACTGCGCGGTAATCCGTCGCCAGAGAGGACAACAAACGAGGGAGGGCGAGGGGCTGTGACAAACTGTTTCGTCGGAGTTGTTGCACCGACTGACTCATCATCAATCAGGAGAGCGAAGCCTCTACAGTCGGTGAATCCCCAAAGACAATAGTGTTTTGTCCTGGGTGGTCATCCAGGATCAGGAGAGCGAACCGTCTACAGTCGGTGAATCCCCATAGACAAGAGTGTTTTGTCCTGGGTGGTCATCCAGGATCTTGTCGAGGTCGTTTGGCCTGTGAAGGAGGGGCGGTGCTGGCAAGTGGGACTTGATGAGATGAGAAACTGCAGACAAAATAAGGTCCACAAATGACGCATAACCGTGATAGCCACGGCACAAGTATGCAAGAAAAGAATCTCGAATCGGTTCTTAATAACCAGAAATAACAATGATGCTCCGTAGTCATAGCATAAGCTATGGCGTCACTTCCCTCCTCGCCGCCAGAACAGTGTGGAACTGAAGAGCGAAATGTCTGGCACACCCCAACTAGTTTCGACCGCTGCCAGGTAGCGATCTCGTCAGGGGGTTGATTCGAGGATCCGTATTTTTTTTGTGCTGGTGCTTATTGCCCCCTGTTCTGTATTATTTGGCTGTTCCCTTCCTCTTTTCTTTGCCTCTTTTGCCCTTTGGCCGTGTGCAAGTGGGTCGATATGACACACTTGGGGGCCTGGGGGCAGCCGCCGCTCAACCTACTTCCACGTGGGCGTCTTTGTACACAAGTAGTTCTGAACACGGGGAGTCTTGTAAGGAAGACGTGGGGGCAGCCGCCGCTCAACCTACTTCCACGTGGGCGGCTTTGTACACAAGTAGTTCTGAACACGGGGAGTCTTGTAAGGAAGACGATAAAAAAATGAAGTTATTTTTTTCTTCTGTTCTTCGCGTTTGCGCTCTGATAACTTTGTGACGATATATGACGATGATGAGTCGGTGAAACTCCGACGAAACAGTTTGTCACAGCCCCTCGTTTGTTGTCCTCTTCTCTCTCTCTGCCTACGGTTTTACCGGGCAGTTCTGTTTGTGACGATATATATATTTGTGTATCGGGCAGCTTTGATAACTTTGTAGAGGGTTCAGCCTCCTGATGAGTAGTTAGGTGAAACTCCGACGAAACAGTTTGTCGCATCCCCTCCCTCGTTTCTTGTCCTCTTCTCTCCCTCCCTCTCCTCTCTGCCTACGCTTTACCGGGCAGCTCTGTGTGACTATATAGCTGTCCTATCGGCCGAGGTGGGGACAGATAAGGCCTTCGACACTACCGACAGATACGGAGTTAAAGAAAGAAGAAAAAAAATAAAAAAATGAAAAAAAAGAAAAAAAATGAAAAATACGAAAAAGAATGAAAAAAAAAAAGAAAAAAAATGAAAAAAATGAAAAAAAAGTACAAATTGACGAAAAAAGAAGAAGAAGAAAAAAAAGGAAACAAGAAAAAAGACAAAATATGTTGATCTGTGGGATGTGTTATTAGCTTAAAAGGTTGTGGCAATTGGATTAATATCTGTGGGATGTGTCATTTGCTTTGTTTGACTGATAGGCTCTTCCTCTTCCCTGTCAGTTTTGGTTTCCTCCTCCTTTTCTTGACCTCTTTTTTGCCTTTTGGCTGCGTGCAAGTGGGCCCTTGTGACACACGGGGATGGGGGCAGCCAGCGCTCAACCTGTCATCCACGTGGCTGGCCTTGTATTACGTAAGAGGTGATGAACAGTCCAGCAACGTGGCTTTCCTTCCGTCCTTCTTTTCCTTTTCTTGTTTATTGTCACACTGTGAATCGGAGCGCAAAGGCGGAAAAAGACAACAAAAAAAAAAGAAAAAAGAAAAGGGAAAGAAGTAAGGAAGGAAAGCCACGTGGCTGGCCTGTTCATCACCTCTTACGTAGTACAAGGCCAGCCACGTGGACGACAGGTTGAGCGCCGGCTGCCCCCATCCCCGTGTGCCACAAGGACCCACTTGCACGCAGCCAAAAGGCAAAAAAGAGGTTAAGAAAAGGAGGAGGGGAGGAAACCAGACCTCACAGAGGCAAGAGAAAGAGAAAGGGATCCAATCAAAGAAAGAAAAGACAAAGGACAAGTTAAGAGGAAGAGGAAGAGGAAGGGCTATCAGTCTAACAAAGCAAATGACACATCCCACAGAAAAAAAAAAAACAATTGCCACAGTCACAACAAAGTTCAACATGTTTTTTTTTTTTTTCTTTCTTTGTTTTCTTTTTTCTTTTCTTCAGCAATTTGTTCTTTTTTTCTTTTTTTTTTCTTTTCCTTTTTTCCTTTTTTTTGTTTCTTCTTTCTTCAACTCCCGCATCTGTTGGTAGTGTCGAAAGGTTTTATCTGTCCTACAACAATTATTGTTGCTCCTGACCTACTTGATTCTACTATTGACCAGTCAGCAAGAGGAGAGGAGCCCCCACCCCACCCCATCCCGGCAGAAATAGGACAGGCACGCTGAGGAGGATGACGTGGATGGTTCACAAGGGTACCCAAGCAAGGAGAGCTGCACCAGCACAGCATTCAGCAGGACGGCTAGCACGGACCATCCCATCCCTTCAAAACAGTCTTGACAAAGGACATCATGATGTTGTCCACATGTCAAAAAACCAGCAGGACGATCATCACAGTGCGCGGCATCATGCAGTCCCCTGATAGCGTCCTCGCGCTCAAAAGGGGCAACGAATATCTGGGTGATAGGGATGTGTACAATGAGGAAATGTTGGACACCCTTCGGCACAGACGGCGGCGGCGGCGGCGGCCGCAAAAAAAATAGATTGATATAATGTTG